GTGTATATATATATATATATATATATACACCTTAATAAATAATAATAGTAAAATAAAAATAATAATAATAATTTAATTATAATTAAAATAGTTAAAAATGTTGATTAATTGCTTTATAATATTAAATACCCGGATTAGTTAGATACTTCTAAACATAATCAGCCTCTTTATTTATTTTAATCAACAACTATAGAAAATTGTTTATTAATCTCATAGTACGACTTTGTATTCTGAGGGAAGAAATTATAACTATCATTATTATTAATTACCATTTTTATTTAAACAATTATTAATTTTTATTAACTAACTAATTAATTATTAAAGTTACTATCACAAACTCGTCGATAATGAATCGATAAATAGCCAATGGCAATAAGAATTTTAATTTTTATATTAAATATATATATATTTCTTAAAAATTCGCTTTCAAAAAATTTGTTACTTTGTTAAAAAAATAATTATTTTTATTGATATAGGTACGGTAAGTTGTATAAAATCGAATGGTTATTAAAAAAAAATTCAGATAATAAAATAAAATAAATAAAATATTTATTAAAAATATAAAAATTAAATTCCTTATTGCTCAAAATTACAATAATCGTTTTTCAAAGACAACGAGTTAATATTTTTACCTAAATCTCGTACAAAACAATAAAAACTAACACTAAAATGAATATCGACAGGTTAAGCGGCTAAAATGATTAATTAATTGATAGTATTGATTATTAAAAGTAATAATAACATACCATTGAACTTAAAATAAAATAACATAATTATATTTATAATAATATCGAAGGCAAAAAGTAAAAACTAATAATAAAAGCTCTCATCCGCTTACATAACTTTATGTAGGCTTATTTTTGATTACCCAGAAGATGTAATTATAATTAAACGTAATTCCTACAGGAACTATCTTATAAATTACGTCTTCTAACAACTTGGGCGCATTTTGGCACACGCTTTACTCCTTTTAATTAATAATTCCTTATAATCTTTCGATAAATCGGTAGTTTATTAAAAACTATTCCTGCGTCATTGTCTTGTTACTTATTTTAATATTCTTTTAATTAAATTTAATTAATAACTATCGATTGAGCTACGTATGAATAATGGTAAAATTACTTAATAAACTCGTATTAGATATTGTCCAATAAATTCCGACATAATATTTTTCGATCGCTTTCTTTTTATTTGTTCTATTTTATTGTAATCTATCAAATCCATCGTAACTCATTTTATAAAAGTATCGAGAGTATTTTTACATACAAGAAATCTTTTTTATAAACATTTATTACAACACAACAGATATTTTTAATTCATTTTTGTTCTAACTTCAATTAATATATACATTGCACCCTATCTAGTTAGAAATATCACAAAAATTTTACAAATCAAATTATTTACGTCGAATAATTAAAAAATTTTTTTTCACTTAATTCTATATCAATTTAATGTTCCTATTAATTTTACAAATAATTTTTACAAGTTTTTTTTGATAAAAATAAAATAAACTCTCGATACTTATTTAAATATCGGACGGATTTGATGGTGTAACTTTTTGTTCAATACTATTTAATAAACCACCATAGTTTTGACAAGTTACTTAAAAACTTGCATCAAATCACGTGTTTATCACTTTGCTTAATTAGTTATATACAAGACTAGACTCTTATCGATTACAATTTTTCGTCTGTCTGGTCGTTATCACTTCGCAAGATCCTCTTCGAGTCTAAGTAATTTATTTATCTAATTTTTATTTTATAAATTTTAATAATTATTTTTATATCAGGATTGTGGACAAGATAGAATCATAATAACAAATTACATTATTATTTCTCCAATATTTCGGTCATTTATTAGACCTTCCTCAGGGATTATATTATAATACGAATTATAACAATCAGTATCCTACCTCGTGTAAAAATCATTATGATAAAGTTCATTATAAATATCATATTTTGACACAAATATGAGACTCATATAAAAACCATATTAATATACATTTAATACCTGTAATAAGTAAAATATTTATGGGAAAAAACTTTTTTTTTTAGACTATAAATTTTTTATTTTTCTTTTTGGAAAAAAAAAATTTGCAGTAATTTTGTGATCCTATCTTGTCCACATTTCTGATACACAAATAATTATTGATAATTATATGAATAACCGAACAGACAGAAAAAATTAGCATACGAAATATGTAGTTACTTAATTTAACATAACTTAAATCTTAAATTTAAAATGAGATTAAAAATTTTCATTTAAGAAAATTAATATTCGTGTTAAAGTACTCTAAAATAAGAATACTTTTATCTTTACCATTTTTAATTCCTTAAATTTATTCCGAAATTTCAATTACCATTTATTCGAGTCAATAATAATCAAATTTAAGATTTAAAATTTATTGAAAAGCTATTAATATTAATATCAATGTTTCCTTTAATCTATTTTATTCTTTTTCCGTGGTCAATGTTACGTACATTTATATTTTACTGATTGTCATACAGTCAAACTGGAATGTTTAATAATCATAATTATTTTTAATTATTCAAACTTACTAAAAAATATAAAAAAAAAAAAAGAATGAATAATTAAAATTTTAACTATTGAATTAATAGTTACCTGAGAAATTTGTTTTAACAAAATTATGCAAACAATATTGTGAGTATATACAAACATATTTTATATGTTAATCACAATTAAATTAAAAAAAATTATTGAGCCGTAGAATAATTTTTTTCTTAAAAAAAAAAAGTTATAAAATATTTTTTGATAAAATTATCAATTCTATAAATTTATTTACAAAAATTAAATTAAAAGATCAAGTTTATCTTTGCTAGTAAATACATTTTTATGTCGCTTTCTCTGACCCGTAATCATTGACCAAGGTGAAAGAAAAAAACAAATTTACTAAAATATTATTCATAGCAGTGTTTTAATTTAGCCTATTACTGAAGAAGAATAATAATAACTTGGAAAAAAAAAAAAAAAAAAAAAAAATTTAAAATATTGATTATTGTCGACTTGCGAAGCATGTGACTCTTGCGATATGTGAGACGGTAATTTTAGTATAAATAATACTTATATATTTTTATATAGTTTAGTAAATTTAAAAAACTCAACCCGTTAAATTTTAAACATACAGAAAGATCAATTACAATAACATAAATAAAATTCCATTCGTTAAAACAATATATAACGGTTTAAATAGGATTAATAATTTAATATTAATCGAATTTATAAATGAAATGTTGACCTATCTTATTGCGTCAGTAATAGAATTACAAAAATGCCGGGTTGTTAACTTATGACCTTTATCAGTATCTCTTGAGTTGAACTTGTTATTCTAGTAATCTAGTCTTTATTTTTCCTCGGTGATTTTTTAGATTACTCAACTCTTTAGTGATGTTCTTGGTGAAATTCATTATTTCTGATGAATATTTTTATTATCCATGTAGTAACTCGTGTTGTCTTATTTGTGATGATTGTTCAACAGAATTACTATAAACCATAACTGATAATGCAACACAAGGCAGTTCTGGCGATTATCATGCTCACATAGAGAGCGGTGCCTCGTCGCAGCGATGGACGAAGCCATGCTGGGGTCATCCAGCGGTATTGTGCTCAGGAAGTAAAATGCTTACGGATTTACGGTTTGATTGGATACTTCCAATGGATGATGATGATGATAAATTTGTTACTAAGGCCGATGTTGCTCGATGAGACGGCGCTACTACTCGAATTTCTGGTCGAGGCGAAGATTCACGAAGCGGACTATTTACTCCCATTAAATCTTCGGTATTTGACGTAGGTGGCCTAAAAAAAAATTGAATTTTCTGTATCATTAAGAGAGTAATAAAAATTTTGTTTTCAGGATAGTTATATGATAAAATCGGTTTTTTTAGTGAAATTTAGTGTCATTACAAAGGTCTTGACTTAAATTTGTGCCTTTTCAAGGTTTCATATCATTCTCACCAATAGTCAATCTATTGTGAGAAGTATTTATCCTGCATTCGAAAATGCTCTATCTCTAGATACATAATTAAGAAATTACCTTTTATTATGTGAAATATTGACATTTTTAAAGATATAAGCTCATCCCGATGTTACACTCATCGAGACCTTTCATTTGAGTACCCACATCAATTTTTTCATATATTTATATATATTATATATATGTATATATGAAAAATATATCAAAAATGCATGTGGGTACTCAAATGAAAGCTCTTGATGAGTGTAACATCAGGATGAGCTTACATCTTTAAAAATATCAATAGTTAAGAAATGACCTTGCATCTTGTGAAATATTGACATTTTTTAAGATATAAGCTCATCCCGATGTTACACTCATCGAGACCTTTCATTTGAGTACCCACATCAATTTTTTCATATATTTATATATATTATATATATGTATATATGAAAAATATATCAATATGCATGTGGGTACTCAAATGAAAGCTCTTGATGAGTGTAACATCGAAATGAGCTTATATCTTTAAAAACGCCAATATTTAACAAAGAGACCTTTCATTTGACTACCCACATCAATTTTTCATATATTTATATATTTTTTTTTAGTTCACAAGTCACGGCAGTCACATAGTGACTGTGAGGTTGCTAGTTAAAATTGATTTTTTATAATTATTTACATAATTTTTTTTTTTTCAAGTTCAATGATAATAATTTTTTTTTTTTTTTTTTAGATAAAGTATTAAATTGTATAATTATTCATAAACGTGATGCCACGTGTTGACGCCAAGTGTTTAACAAGTTACGTAAAATGAATAATTGGATTTAGTAGGTGCCAATGTCAATGCTGTTTTACGAATTAATTTAAAGTAAATATACCAACAATTGAATTATACAAAGGCAAGATTATTTATAAATTTATAAATTCTAGCTTGACACTACCCGAGGCAAAAACATTTTAGTTGTATGATAACAACTTAAATAAAGTGAGAATACCGAAGATGACAATATAATAGACAAAGGGTAGAGACCTGTGTTGAGGCGGTGGTGTCGGTGTTCTTGATAGTGGGAAACTTGCTACTTCTCGGGTCACCGAGAGAGATCGGATCGATCCAAAAGTCTGGTCTGGCGACAGATTTGCTCCGACGCTCTGTACCATCCCGCTGCTGAAACATTATTAACATTGTTTTATTATTTTTAGTATTAATCTTATAAACTCACATCTTGGCCCAAAAATCGATAGTCTGAGAGCCTGACGTTTATATGTCTCTTATATTACTGGTATTGTATTTCATTTTTTTCTTTAATAATCCTCGAGACCACCGTGAGATGTAAGAAGTTTGTTTAATTTTTCAACACACCTTTTCATTGCAATTTTTTTTTATTAAAATTTACTGAGAAAAAATTTAATAACATGAAATTATTTTAAAAGTCTCTTGTGTACTCAAAGGTGTATTGTATCATTAACTTTATTTTTTAAAAAAATATTAAGTACTGCAATTTGTAGACACTTGACACGTTTCACTTGTTTGTACACAGTAAATATTTGCCGGTGATAAAATTATTAAAAAAAAAATCGATTTTATTTAATAATCGTGAATTTATTGGAGATATATATTTGTGTGCACAATAAATTACTCCAAATTGTAATCACTACAATACTGATTAATATTCTTTATCTTTTTATCATTGATTGATGTTCCCTTGCAATTTATCAAATAAAAAATTCCACATAAAAAATTATTTTCTCACCGAGTATTTTTATCATGATTGCTCTATGAATTATTAGTTTTTGTAATAAATTGACCATCATGATGAATAAAAATTAAATGCAGTAACATTGACAACACATGTAAAGTACATTAAGCTTAATTTAATAATAATATTTCAAAAGTTTATTCAACGAGCTAGGGGAGAGATCCAATATTCACATAGTTATCTTTAACCTTGTCTCTGATCGCGTGAATAATCCAATCATACATGTCTTATTACTGCCGTAAAAATACAAGTTTCCGGACAGTTTAAGTAGAGCATGTTATATTTATTTAATGTACTCAGAGTTTTTAAAAAAAATTTATTTTTACAGCCTGTAACTTATTTTGAAAATAAATTGTATAATAAATTTAATCGCTCTTCAAGTGCAAATAAACATTTAGTGGATCCTAAAAATGCTTTTACAAGAACAAACAATAAAAATAAAATAAAAAATTTACAAGCGTTCTATTAAAAATTTATCTAATAAAAACAAGTCTGCCTATTTGCATTTTGTATTCAATCGTGTCTAGATGATGAATTGATGAGCTGTGTTGTCTGTACAATTTACAATGAAATATCTTGTTTATTGTCCGTGATAAATAATAATATTTATCATTTAAATAAAATTTAAACCTACACTATTTATTATATTCTAAAAAAAAAATTTTAATAATTAAAAAAAAATTTTTTTCAACAATATTTATGTTTGAGTTTCGCTCAAGACTAACAATAGCTTTAACTTAAGTAATCTATGAATAATTCAAAGTATCGACTTGATCGTCAGGAAGCGGAGTATTCAAGCAAATAATCTAACGTCTATTATTGTTGTCTTGAAAGTCTATTTGTACTTGGCATTAAATTTCTGACCTTTGGCGAAATTTTATACATCTAAAAAAAAAAAAAATTTATTTCTGTTTTAAATAAAAGTTTATTTTAATTAAAAATAGTGATCTGATGAATACTCAATAAAACATTATTAAGATGAATAAACTGACGTGGTAAGTGTATTTGTAAGCCCAGTAAAACATTAGCTGATAGTTCATCAACGTCACACAGGGTCAGGGAATAGAACAAAGACCTAGAGGGTGTTTTGTGGCTAACGTGACTGATATAGAGCCTCGTGAAATAAATATGAAGCTACCAGGGTATTTTTAGAACAATCGAGGGGCAATTTTCTATATATACATTACCAATATTTATTTTAATTTATTTAAAGTGACTTGGAAAAATTATCCAAGTGCTTAAAACTTTTGTTAGTTTCTAACTTTATTTATTAATAAATTTTAGGTTTTAAAATTTCACCTGACAGATCCCGAGGTGACAAGAAACGGCATTGGTGTTGGACACGGACTCAGTGGCGAACTGCTGACAGAACTTCTCGTGCTGCTTAGAACAGAATGAGGACACTGAGGCGGACCCATGTGAGATCCCATGAAACTGTTCATTGTTTTGCCGTCTGAGCGATTTTTCAAGCAAGGAATTTTCGGCCATCGACCCACTTCTTTACCTGAAACATTAAAAAGTAATTAATTAATTAATTAATTAATTAAATAATGTAAATCAAATCTTTCAATTAATTAATAATTATAACTTGATAATTTGTGAGAGTTGCGACCTCTTTTACAACTCGTATACTTTTATGTTCCAGCTTTCCTGATGAGAGTAAGAAAAGTTGATTTTTTATTTGGTAAACACCATAATTATTTTCTTCTGATAAAACCAATAATATCAAGAGAAATTAAGATAAATTTAATGGACAAGTTAATAAAAATACTAGCAACCTGCAGTCACTATGCGACTACCGAGATTTACAAATAAATAAGAAAATTTTGACTTAGTGATTTTTTTTATATTTATAATTACATTGTACATAGTTTGGGTACTTTTTAAATAAATTTTAAAAATAATAGTGCTATCATGAAAATTAATTTAGCAGATTTTTGATCATTTTGAGAATTTTTTTAACAAATAAATTATGGCCAAAAAAAATAAGAAAAAAAAATTGACATGTAGAAATTAAAAAAAATTAAAAATGCAATTTTTCAAAAATAATTTTTTGGAACAAATTTATTTGTTAAAGATAGCTAAAAAATAATCAAGTGACTGCTAACTTTAATGTCATAGTGCTATCACAGGATCAATTAAAAATAATTTATTGGACAAATGTGACTGAATAAATTTATAGAACCAAAAAATTATTAAAAACTTTAGGTCAAGACCTTTCCAACGATACCAAATTTAACCATAAAAACCCATTTTATCATATAAATATACTGGCTACGAAATTTTACTTATTCTCTTAATAATATAGATTTTCAGCAGATAATTATCAACTGGAATGACTGGCTAACCCCGAGCTGCATTAAACCCTCGTATCAGAAATTCAGCGCGTTATTCAAACAACGAGGCATATAACATTCTCGCTCTAAAATACTACGGTCTATTGGCGTGACCTTTACAATGGGGTCAAGCATACATAGACGGTATGACTTCCAAGTTCCGAGTTCCGAGTGAATATACCAAGTACATATGCTAATCGAATAAATCTCAGTGGACTGCTCGGAGGAAGACTTACGTCCAGGATTTTATTTATTTAATGCGTACTTGCATGGTAGACCAGAGGTCACGAGAGAATTTTTTTTTTTTAACTAAGGACGAACGAGGTCGAGGCAACTGATAACGAAAGACTAAAAATTATCAACTGGTCAGTTTTCATTAGATAGTTTATTGAGATTTTAATTCAAGTTAATTGGGAATAGACGGCTTTATTTTAGACTTCTGAGTGACCAGAAATTAGGTTGACAGTTTTTAGACGGAAACAATTGTCGTGTGCTCTTGTAAGTGTTCTACTCGGCCTAGTTTACCGAGTCGGTAATTATTTAACACTTAGGATTGTAAAACATTATCTAATTTTAATCCTTCGATTTTTTATTTTATTTGCCAAGAATTATTTTATAATTGACTGAGGGCCAGTTTTTCAATCCGAGATAAAATTTTATCCGATGTCAATATATAGCTATATATTTCATATTTATAGATATAAGGTAAAAGACCCAGTTATTGATACTGGTCTAGTTATTGACACTTGCAATTTTATTTTAATTAAAAAAAAAAAAAAACAAATCAACTCCAATAAATTAATAAATATAATTTTTTAACTATAAATTTTAAAATAATTATTTTTTTGAGAACATTTTATTTTTTTAATTACAAAACAATGTAGAAAGTGTAAAAGCCACAATTTATAATTTAATATCGAAAATGTGATTAGTATCTGTCACTATAGTAAATAACGAGTTTCTCATCTTAAAAAATTACAGTTTCAAACAGTAAAAATTGCCGTTTCAATATATAGTCTATACTATGAGGAGAAGGCCTCACACTCAGAGAATTTACCATTTGAAACAGTAAAAATTCTACTCTTAAAATATATATTTTACCAGTCCAAGCAAATCAATAATTATAATTTTATTTTTAGCGTTGCGTTTAAAATTTACCATTTTACTTTATAAATATTGATGTTGCTTGAATAGAAATTTAATAACTGTAGTTTATATTTTTTACATATCATGCGATCATTTTTGAGGTACAAAATGATAAATATCAAAGTCAAAATTCTTAATTATTATACTTAAACATTTTTGACTTTCACACAGCAAATATTACTGTTTGAAATATTATTTTCTTCCAATAAATTGTAGCATTTAAATGATAAATATTATAGTAATTGTTAAAATCATGATTTTACTGTTTGAAATAGTAATTTTTTCTAGTTGATCATTACTTATTATATAAATCGACTATTATTTATTAAAGTTTATTTTATTCCGTGTGACAATAATAATTTTATCCTATATAAAATTTTATCTCGGATTGAAAAACTGGCTCTGAATAATTTAAAATAAAAGAATTACATTATTAAAAAAAAAGCAACAGACTGTAATAGTATAACAATAATAATTAACGTAAAATAAACTAAGAGTTGTAATTGAAATTACAATTAAAAAAATAATTATGAGTTGAAACGGTAATGAGAGCTTCTAATTGTATAAAAATTGAAAATTCAAAAGAGATACACCGAGCGTTACGAAAATGTCGTTCTTGAGAGAAGAAAAAAAAATAAATAAAAATAACAAGAGTTCTCTGACATAAATACAAGCACTACCTTTTTATTATACTTTATTAAAAATTAAAAGTACAAAGGTAGTACCAGAGCCTTTCAATCATGAGACCAAAGTAAAGATATAAATAAACTAAAATACCTTTTTCATTTTTAATGGAACAAAAATTACTTTCTGAATAAAATATTTTTCATAAATGCAAAATTACTGATTATAGACATTAAACATTTGCGTGTGTATATGATCGATATTGTCACACATTTAGTAACATGAAATTAAAAAAAAAAAAAAAAAAAAAAAAAAATAAAAGAATAGATGTACAGTGGTGATTTAATTCGACCTTATCTTTTCATCATTATCTCTTGTTTTCATTCCGGTATTTAGCTTGCATACCGACCATTAATTATAACCTTTGAGTTAGATTACATTCTACTCGTTACACGAATATACAGGTTCGTTGGATCCTTTTGTGCTAGTAAATTCCTTTGCCACAGGAAATAGATACCTGACAAACTACATTTCAGTGTTTCTCGTTACGCTTCTCAGGAGTTTTCAACCACGTGCTATATTTTATCAGTAAATATTAAATAAAATAGCTTAAAAAATTATTATAAGCTTACCGAGAAGTCCGACACCCTTAACAGGCCCCAGTGGATAAAAATCCCCGTGAAGAGGACAATGGAAGCCCACCCGTCGTTCTCTTTTTCTTGCACGTCTGGTCAGCATGCACAACAGCACCCCGAGTCCCAACATCAACGCTCCGACGACGATGCAAATCGGGCCCAAGATTCTCGAGTTTCCGGTAAATGCTATTCTGGCTGCATAAGAATCTTTGTCTTCATCTTCACCTGGACCCCGGTAAGATGCGGCTGAAATTATATCATTTACATTATTAAAAAAAAATTACATTAACAATATTTATGAAATTGAAATTTTTTTTATTATTATAAATCAATTATAAAATATATTTTTTTAATTTCTAGCTGTGGGATTTTTTTTATAATAATTTAGAGGTTGTAAAAATTAAAAAAATTGATAGCTGTCAGCTATAACTTCAGTATCATAATAAAAAGATGACATTATAGTTAGCAGTCACTTGAACATTTTTTAATTTTATTTAACAAATAAATTTGCTTCAAAAAATTATTTTTAAAAAATTGTATTTTTAGTTTTTTAAAATTTCTAAATGTCAATTTTTTTGATAATTTTTTTTGTAACAATTTATTTGTTACAAAAATTTTTTAAATTATCAAATATCTGCTAAATTAATTTTAATTTTTTTTTTATTGTTATTGCTATAAAAATAAAAAAAAAATTGACAGTTGTCAGCTAACTAAAGTATCATTTAATATTTAATATTTAAGGAAAAATTTTTTTAATCTTTGAATTTAAAAAGAAAATAAAAATGAATAACCTCTATATTATTATTATGTATTTCTCCAAGAACGAAAGCGAAACTTGCCGAGTGCTCTGGTGGTTAGTATTCTTAAAAGAAGAAATAAATAAAAACAAAATAGTTAAAAAATTCGAGCAACCGGTCTTGATAAGTCGGTTGGCAACAGAGGCCCGATCAGGATGCACTGTAGATGACGACACCGCCGGGGAAGAATGGAGGTGCAATGACCAGCTGTTTTATTATATATGGCGAACAAGTAGGCCCTTCTCTTCTTTCTCTTTCGGGTCTCGTTTGTAGTAATCGCCACCATACAATATACAATAGAATACCCCTACACTCTGCACTACACCTTGTGCTTCAGTAATCTTCATCGTTATTCTCCGTACATATAACTCTTGACTTTTTATTTTATTTATCCGGTTCTTATTTACTCTTTGTTCTTTGTTATTTCTCTCTTAATACCGTCTTAGATAGATATGGAGGAGACTAAGAGTAGAATAGGCTATCATCAAGTTCACTGGCCTCAAATTACAGCGATAGCGGTTCTCAAATTTACTGCTCAAGTATTTTAAGTGTTTGTTATGTCTTTAACAGCTTCAATCACACCTAACCTAACTTTGCTCAGCATAACCGTATAATAGTCTTCATTTTTATTTTCATTTAACACATTTGGCCTTGAGATATTAAGATAACAATCATCATACAAAAAAAAAAAAAAAAAATAAATTACATATAATTAACTCGGTTTCCCATCAAAACAATTTTAAATTACTTCCTGTGTTTTATGAAAGTTTTTAAAATAATAATCTAAGCTGAATAAATATTCCATTTTTTAGCTTAATAATTATATTTTTTTTTTTTTTCCTTTTCAGAAATAAATAATAACTTTAGAAAGGCTAAAACGTCAAAAGTCCAGCATGACATGAATTTTTTGAATGAAAGTGAAATTGTAAATAAATTTTTATTTCAATTGTCAAAATCTAAAAAGTAAAATGTTGTGTAACTTTGTACGGCTTTAAAGATCAATGGTTATTGTACAACTTGTTACTGCAAGGCTTCAGTTTTTTAATTAGTAATCCTCGTATAGTCTACAGCTTTTTTATCTACAGCTGTTTTAAATCCTTAAAATCCTTCCAGGCTTTTTAATCTTTCATTTTTTAGCTCAAGAACTACCTGTTTATATAAACTTTTGAGCTTACGCTGTTACACAAGTACTTACTGTGGTTTTCTTGTAGCATTATATTGTATGAGGATGTTGGCGCACACCTCTGAAGGGATTCAATAAGTTTTTTTTTTACATTTATTATTTTTTTTTTTTAGATTTTCAATTTAATAGTTGTAAAAGACTTTGAAGTTTAGAAGAAAATTCTTCTTGAACAATTTGAATTGAATTTTTTTCGGCTGAGATTTTTCTGAGCTACTTCACAATGCTAACAACGGAAATTGCGGTACAGAGCAGTAAAAAAGTCACAGCTACATGGTCAGCTAGGGAAATAGGTCAAAGATAAAAGAGAAACTAGAAGAGGAAATTGGGAGAAGTATATGTTATGTTTTAGAGGTATGTCTATTATAAATTTCAATATTGACATTCTGAAGTTCTCAACTTTTAAATTTATTCTTTATTTGATTTTTCAGAGAGGATTTAAGGAAGAAAAATGAAATGAAAAAAAAATTTTGTTGAAGAAAAGACAAAAGCTTTGGATTAATTAGTACCAATAATGGTAAAACACATGAGTAATCATTATTAATCATTAAAAATCAGAGGTTCACTTGGGTCACTCGTTACTTTATAGGGCTCATGACATGACTAATGAGACAATGTCTGCTAAATTGGTCTAACAACATAATTGACAGGAAAAAAATCTAAATTTATGATGACTCAAATTTTTTTTTTCTTCACATGTTTGGAACATAAACATATGAACCGGTTTTTCAACTAAATATTTGGTTATGCCTCTGTAGATTTTTCTGATTCTTTTAACGTTATCTTTCAAAATTGCTGGACCATATTACTTTTTTTTTTTTTTGTTTAAATGTTTGTTTATTAAAAAAAAATAATAAGTCTAAGATTAAATATACATGTGTGATTGGCTAAACAAACAGAAATTAAAAAAGCCATACATTTTTTGAATAATAAAAATAAAAATCATTTGAACAAGAAAGACCGCAGGTTGCGGTACGCACAAGTTCTAACTCACTGTTTTTTTATATTAACCTGGTTTTGAAAAATAATTGTTTTTGGTGAAGCCGAGGCTATAGTTCCACTCATTCGTGTGTTAAGAATTTTTGATTTTATGGAAAAAATAGGAAAAACCATATCTTTACTCTGCACACCATATTACCAGTTTATTCCCGTGGCGTAATGATACTAAAACTGCAATGTATGTTCTTTAACACCTTTTTAATCAGTTACAGAATGGAACTCATAGAAAACACTACGGATTGTTATGCATTCCTAGTTACAGAAAACCTTTAAGAATAAATTATAGAATTGTAATTAAAGATCTTACTTTAATATTATATTATAAAATTAACCCCAGAATAAATACTAATAATTCAGTTAAAATTTAACAGTTAACAATTAGTTTTCCAGTTAAAGTACAACTTTATGTTATCAAATAAACAATTAAATGTGACTATGGCTTAGACATTAAAATTTGTGTAAGTTATTTAGACGAAAATTGAACCTTTTTCCCCAAGGCATAACAATTTTTATAGAAAAATTTGTTGAACATATGTAGAATAAAGTTTGCATGTAGAAATGATGCATAAAATTTCCAATCGGGAATAATACTCAAAAGTTGTAGATGTGTTAAAGTTTTCAAACTGATTTACATATTTAAGTTCGTTCTGCAAATCTCAGAACTATCAAATATAAAGTTGAGAATATATTTCACCGAGAAATGAGGTCAGTATTATTATTTAAAAAAAAAATACAATCAAATAAAGGGGTAAATAAAATTATTTGAATTGATACCAGGGAAGAAATGTAATTTTTTAGTGCCAGAAGAGATACCGTGCACCGCGTAATCTTGAAATGTTAAAATTACAGATATAAAAACGGCATGACGGCTCACCAGTTAAAACTGCTCCAACAAACATGAAGAGGAAACCGAATGCAGGAAGTGCAATCTGACAGTTTGCGGCAATAACAACGCCAGCAACCATCAATCCACCCTCGATTTTTTCCACTCTCAGTCGTGATATCGGTGATGAACATTTTAACTTGGCTCCTAAACTTCCTGTAAGCATCCCTTCCTCTCCCGAAACCGTGCTAGGTCTGTAAAAAAAATTTATTTTATATCAAACCAAGTTAAATATCAATTTTGTTGTGCTTGGCTTCTATACAATGTTTATTCATTAAGATAATAGCCCAATGATAACATTGAATAAATAATCGTTAAATATATCTTATAAATTAAGTTTAATAATTCACAGCACATTAATTTATTAATAGCAAAAATACAATAGGCTGTTAAAATAAATAAAATAAACCAACAATGGTTTTTTAATTTTTATTGTTAAGGGTAATAATATCTTGTTTATTACAGGTTCAGTTACACGGCATGAGAATTATAAAATTACAGTAAATTATCCAGAAGAAATACTCAGAGGTGCTTGTACTTTATAACGTTTTGTCTAGCAATTATAATCCTTATCTTAATTGATGGAAATTTTAAAGATTTTATTCTTTTCTTCAGGGGATTCTATTAATTGCTCCCGACTATTTTCCCTCGATTTTTCTTTGTTTTACACTGCTAATGAGTCTGTAATTGCGTTCTCGAACTTTTTCCGGTCATAAGGCATTCTGTAAAAAAGGTAGAAGCGAACCTTTTGTACATATAAGCATGTGAAAAGATGTTAATTATATATTTTTAAATTCTTTTGTTTAATTAAGCGATAAAATTAAGCTTTTTTTTTACACAAATTTGAAATTAGACTTACTCTGAAAAGAGATGCATTTGCAAAACTTTTGATTCATTATCACTACTTGGTACAATAAGCCAATTATTTTGTAAAATTTTCCAAAGACACATATTATGTAAATTAATACTAAAATATTCTTCTTATTAAATTAAATCCAACATATAAAAATGATAGTGTAACAATGCGAGTAAATGTTTCCGGGGCGAGGCTTACAAAAAGACTAATTTAATATCACAGCGTCTTTAATTTTTTATTGTCTCCCACTTGTTCAGTTATTAAGCAACCAAATGATAAGCTAACGAGCTAGTAAATATTTGTAATTTATCTTTTTTTTTTTAATTATTTTTATTTAACATACTTTATTGTTATTATTATTTTAAAAATATAAATTGTAAAATAAAATTAACCTATCAAAGTAGATTTTTAAAATAATATTTTCAAGATCACTATTATTATCCCAGTAATAATTTTTGTCGACGTAGATTCAGATAAAAATATCTAATTGTTTAGTATTTAATTCTCAAGGTTAGTTTTATTTGTTGACGGAAAATAACAGATTGATAACATTCAAATTATTTATTTCCAAGAATTTTTCATGCAATAAAAAAAAAAATAGTTTTTTAGATTTAGAAAAATTATGACCTTTATTGTAATAAAAATTTAATGCCTGCAATTATTAAATATTTTATTTATTCAGGGCAATGATGTCTGATAATTATCCAACTAGTGAGAATAGGCTTGAATAAAACTCTTGTATTGTTAAATTACTTTTGTAAAATAATTAATGACAATCTTGGAGGTAAATTTTGTGAGCGCTGTTATAAGTCTAGATATATAAAACTTAATTATTAAGTTTATCCCTTGGGGATTTATAGTCCCATTTGAGAATGAATAGTGCGCTATAAACTGGTACTTTAATTATAAAATTAATAAAAAAAAGTACAAATGAAAATAATGAAGATTTCCGTGGAGAAATAAGTTTTATTGTCTAACGAAAATAGAAACGAGGAAATACGAAGGATAATGGTATTTGTTGATGGCCTTAATTTAACTGAGGCTTTTATTCCTCTGTGGGGGTTTTTAAAAAGTAAAAAACACGAGTACTGCAAAAACGGGAAGTAAAAAAAATGGGAAAAAAGTCAAGTAAAATAAATAAAAAAAAGCTCTGTGAGCAGATGTGTTGAGACGAGGTCGATAACCGGCTCAAGATGTACGGTGTACCATCACGACTTTCTGGATACAACTTGAATATATTATTAACTATAACTTTCATGTGTTTACTACTTCTCATTTAATTTTAAAAAATTAACATACGCAAGAAATAACAAATTAACAAAATTTGAATAACTAGCTTCAAGAGATGCCGGTCCAGGTTCATGCTAATTTGTGCTAACCATCAACAATTATAATTTTACATAAATATTCTATTTTTAAGTATACAACAATAAAATTTACACTTTAATTTTTGTTCATTACTATCAACAATATCGTTATAATAATTTAAAAGAATGATTTGCCAATTATAAAATCTTATTATGTAGTAAGTAAATGTACTTATATAGTTAACGTATGCGGATATGTTGTATGTTGCGTGAGAATTAACTTTATTGTCTCAATTAATTTTCATTTACGTCAATGATGCCAATGCCCGTTGGTATAATAGACTTCAATATTATAAATTATAATTGTTTTTCTTATTTACATCTTGCGTGCAATTATTCAAATTTTTACATATTTATTCAATTTGCAATTTATGCAAACAAACTTTTGAATTATAAAAATAAATTTGTGTTTTTATTATGTGTAATATAAGCCAATTAAATAAACTTGTCATAAAATGTCATAATATTTATCGATTAGTTTTAAATTGTTTTGATAATCAATAAAAATTTATTTATGATCAACTACAAGACAAAACAATAAAATTAAAATCTTGAATTAAAAACGTAGGCTGTTGGGTTTGTTTATTTAAATAAATAAATAAATTAAGTGAACAAAATTAAACAACAAACTTTTTCGGGGGTTTTTTTCAGGCTTTCTGCTCTAATCTCAAAAAACATATTTTGCAATATTACTAATAACACTGTTAATTTTTTAATTTTTTCCAGACATCGCCAAATAAACGTATTTCTGTGCAATTTTCGAGCTAAAATTTCAGAATTAAAAAATTTATAATTTATATTATATAATTTAAGGAAACTAATTGTTGTATAATGCCAATTGGCGTTCAAATGAAAAAAAAATAAAATAAAATTTTTACTCCATAAGAGAGCCTATAAACATTGTTACAGTAGCAGATAAATTTATTTCATTAAAAGTTAAAATTAAAAAGTGCAGTTTATAAATTAATTAAAATGTTAGCTAAATAAGCAGTTAAAATATTTAATATTTAATAGTATATAAGAAAAAATGTAAAGGGCAGTCATCATGCCATAAATTGTAACAAATATAATAAATAAAATTGTTTTTAATGAAACAATCAGAAAAAGAAAAGAATATTTTTTTACGTTGAAGAAATTTAGTTCTTTCATTTCAATCATCCTTATTGTTCTCATCAACTGGATATCCGATTGATAATAATTTCAATCAGAATTATCTATCGCTTTCAATACAAGTGCTGTTTGATTGATTGAAATTAATTTAACCAATCGGGAAATATTATCAGCCGAATAACGTTATCTCTTCAATGAATTGATTAAGTTTATTGATTGTGCTGACCAAGATTTTATTTTATAAACTTTTATAATTTATTTATTTATTTCTTAAATTAATCAATTTATTTATTTACTAAATTTCTGTACTTAAATTGTTTATTTATTTATTAGAACGCTAATCGGCATTATACAATTAGTATACCGACGTTTTAAGTAACAAATTGTCTAACTCCATTTTAGAGAATCTTCCATTTGTACAAATATATAATTAGTTCGGAATTTATCATCACTTAAATGATATATAAAAAATCACCCTCTAAAAAATAAGGAATTAGACTAATTGCTAATTAGACCGTCGATATTCTTTAAATTATAAGATATAAATTATAAATTTATGACACTGAAGTTAGCAGATGTCTAAAAATTTTTGATTTTTTTTTTTTAATTAAATTACAACTAAAAAGATATTTTAAAAAAAATTGCAGTTATAGTTTTTCAAGTTTTTAACAAGTGATATTTTTTTTTTTTTAATTGTTTAATTGAAATTTTTTGGATAAAAAAATTTCTAAAAATTTTGAAATGTCAGCTAACTTTATTTTCATATAAATTTTTAAATTCTGAAATTTTGGCTCGAAAATTGCACAGAAATAAGTTTATTTAGCGATGCCTGGAAAAAATTAAAAAATTAACAGTGTTATTAATAATAATACAAAATATGTTTCTTGAGATTAGAGCGGAAAACCTGAAAGGAGCCACTGAATATATAAAAGGCTGAAGAAAATAAATTTTCTTAAAAAATTACTCAGATTGACTCAAGCGTACAAAAAAAAATAAATACATTTAAAATGTAGAATTAAAAAAAGTTTACAAACTTAAATCTAATTTACAGTCAACATTGCGAAGATAAAACTGGAAGTGACATAAACATTCATCCTCAGGAAACTAAGAAAAAAAAAAAAATAATTAAACAATTAAAAAGATAAACAATACCGATGCATGACTGAATGACTGTCAAGAGGAGATTTGTCGGCATGAAACGCCGTGCTGAAAGTCATTACTGAACACCTGGGCTCCTGTTTCTGCTCTGGATTATTTTTATTGCAGTTTCGATGACGATTTATTTGATCAACTCCCGCTGGAACGCGGAATAACTCTGCTAGTCAGCTGACAGCTTTGCTCTTCATAGCTTCCTTCACTTTACGCATAATAGACGAAATTTTTTTGACCTCCAACTTGTCTTTCAGTTTCCCCTCTTTGTATTTTTCCGTCACCGTCCTCAAATTGATTATTTATAATAACAATAAACTTTAAACTAACTATCAATACTATTTGTTATCACTTCAATCACTCATTAGTGTTATCAGTGGCAAAGCTTTCAAAGATTAATAACAAAGTTCTGTTGAATCACAAACTTTCACTAAACAATTGCTCAATAAATTTTTTATATTTTATATAATATAAAGTAACTTATATTATTTATTTATTATTTAATATAAACTAATAATATTTTATTATTCACAGCTAGTTTATAAAGATCAGTTCAACGTACTGATCTAGGTCGCGTGTTCACACTCTGCTCACAGATACTGGACTCTTCGTGTCATTAATCGAGACCAGTATCTACTATTATTGTTTTAGTCTTCAGACAATAAAAGTTCGATAACCCAACAACAAATTTTTTTTGTCTTTATTATTATATCATCTTCTTTAAACTCAATCTTGCTAATGACAGCAACGTACGTTGACTTTATAACAACACTTGATCCACCATTTTGATAGAATTATTTTTAAAAAATGTCAGAAGCTGTCAATTAACCAATAACAAATTTTTTAACACCAAATAAATAACATTGAACTTGTATTTAATAATATGTAAACAAACCGCTCACTTATACAACGTCTACTTGTCGACTGACTGCAATCAAAAGGACCAACCGCTGGATGTCGACCACTCTGACGCCATCCCCACCGACTTCTCGTCCCTCCCACAGCGACCTCACGCGCTGCATTTTCACCCCCTACTCGTGCTACGCTACTATACATAGTTATAAAACATCACACTTTTTTCGTGTTTTTGATACATCTGTTTGGGACTTTATTTAAGAAAAATTCCATAGTTCAAGGTTTTATTTTTAATGTGACAAAAATACTGGTTAGTTTTCTTTGTCACGGCTTTTTTTTTTTTTTTACTATTCAGTTCAATAATTCTTTTTAGACTAATGACGTTTTTTTCAGATAACTTCTAATTAGAGAGATGACAATTGAAATTTATTCATGATTTGCGGTAATGTAAGTGGATTTATCAGGAAAAAAAATGAAATTGGAATTGACAGATACAATTTTTTATGAAAAATAAATTAGGTTTAAAAAATGATTTTTAAAAAAATCAAAATAAAGTTAAGTATGTCATTAAAGTTAGCCGACGTTCTAAATTTTTTGATTTTTTTTTTTTTTTTAATAATCAAATTAGAACAAAAAAATTTTTTTTAAAATTGCACTTATAGTTTTTGAAGTTTTTTAGACGTGCAATTTTTTTTTTTTTATTTTTTTGTAATGATTTTTTCAATAAAAAAAAATTATAAAAATTTTTTAATTGTCGGCTAACTTAATTTTTCATAATAAAGTTAGCTGACATCTGATAATTGTTAAAAATTTTTTTTTTAAAAAATAATTGCAAAAAAAAAAAAAAAAAAAATTACATTTGTAAAAAACTAGAAAAACTATCAGTGCAATTTTTAAAAAATATTTTTTAGTTATAATTTAATAAATAAACGAAAAATCAAGAAATTAAAAATGTCGACTAACTTTAGTATTATTTTAAAAAATTGCATTTATAATTTTTTAAAGATTCTAAAGAAGAAATTTTTTAAATAATTTATTTTTATAAACATTATCATTATTAAATTAAGACATTTAAAAATTTTTAGAATTTTTTTTATTAAAAAAATTATTACAAAAAAATTTCATTTGTAGAAAACTTGAAAAACTATAAGTGCAATTTTTAAAAAATGTTTTTTTGTTTTAATTTTATTATTGAAAAAAATTAAAAATATCGGCTAACTTTAGCATTATATAAAATTATTAGATTTTTCTTAATTTCAGCATCATAAAAAAATTTATACCAGGGAAAACTGATGAATAAAATATGAAAATAATTTTCCAAGAACATGGTAAGTTTGAAATATTAATTTCGGGGATTTTATAATAATTTAGTTGACTACTAATTTTGAATTTTCACGATGTCACAGGCTATTAATAGTAAACAAGAGTTAAGTTCGCGGAAAAAATGAAGTCAGGTTGACGAACGATGTTCAACAAGAAATTCTCATCCATTTCTTAGAATATATAAATAAAGCTCAGAGAAACTCATTCAAAATTTTTAAAATTTAACATATAAATATAAATATAAAATTAATAAAACGTGAAAAAATATGTTATTAATTATAAATATAAATCATAGTGATAAATTATGAATGTGGATAGACTTGGTAAGTGTATTTTAATTAATAAAAAAAAAATATAAAGACTCTTTATTGTATTTGATGGTAAATAATCATTTTTTATTTTAATTTTCAGTCTATAAAATGATAATACAAGGGCATATTTAATTCGCCGGCACGCATTAAGAATTCAGAAGCACGAATCGCGTCTCTTTAAACTCGAGTGCATTAAGATAATTGTCCGGTGCAACCGAAGACACTCACTTGAATTGTAAGAATTATTCAAACCTCTGTATCTAGCGACAAGGATATAGTCTAGATTTATATTCTGTGATTCTTCTACTCACAAGGTATTGTTTGTTGGCTCGTGTTAATTTTTTTAAATATTCTTATCTGTGTATTTAATTAAAATATTCGCTTTATTATTCCCGGAAATTTTTACAAGACAATTTATTTCTCAAGCATTGAAATAATTCAAAGAAGTTTTTTGTACAGTCTGTTTTAATTAGATTTTATATCTCAAATTAAATTCTAATTGGTTTATATGTTTATTAAATATTTCATAAGTAATTTATAATTAAAAAAAATTTTTTCAATATGAAAGAATTTAAAAATGCAAGCATTCACAGGGTAAATCAATTTACAGACTCAGTGGCCGTATTTAAATCTATCCAATGCGAGAATAGTTGTAATAAAAGGAAAAAAATAATATGAAATTGAATTTGAAATGAATTCTTGGTGCTGAGAAAAATAATTTATACCAGATTTAATTTTATCACGAACCTTTATTACCCTGTGACCTCAATTAGCTACCTGAACATTAAAAATTGGTAAGTTTGAACTGAACATATACAAAAATATAAAAATAAAATGATAACTAATATAATGTAAGCCAAGAAAAGATTTTTTTTGTTTTAGCTTAGCAGACACATACATCTGCAGCGACCTTGGGTCATCGATTCTGCGAGAAAGTCGAGGGCAAGGCAAAACAAGATTATGTACCGAAACTCAAAATAGTTGGTCACGCGAGGCACGGGTTGTCTCCAGATAACTCCTAAATCACAAATTTATCAATCTTATTTAAAACTAGTTCATTAAAAATTTATTTACTTCCAAAAAAAAAAAAATAACGATCGCGTGCTCATCACAATAAACTAAACTTTTTAATTCCTTTATAACATAAACATAATGATGATGATAATTACTTTTAAACTAGTTTAGTTTATACGTCGTCGACAAAGGATTCACCGTAATTGAGTGACAGTAACACCACCAGGATAAAAAGATTTATCAAAAACAAAACAAATTGCTCGAAAACGGAATTTTAATCATTATTAAGTTTTTTTTTAAACCTTTTGAAGGATTTATAAGTAGGTACTTTCATAAAATTTGTCAGTTAAAGTAGAATTGCTTTAATTTTTATGAAAGTTAAGGCATAAAAAAGGAGTATTACTTATATTTATTTATATACTTAATAATTTTTTTAATTAACTAAACATTTTTTCAACAGCAATATTTTATTTCAGATTTATAATTATACATGTCTAAAATTATATTTTTTATGTCGGTGATTATAATGATTAGATTTTTTTTTTATGATATAAAATAGAGATAATTTAAATAATTACTGTAAGAACAGGAAATATTACACATTCACTTTATTACTATATATTTATAATAATTTAGCAAAAGAATTATCGGATGATTCTGTTCCAGATATTGATTTATCAGTTAATGATTTATTTCAAGCGATTCATGGTGTAAGGACCATCACCAACAAGCCACCAGAGCTCAAAGTTGACCCACTTTATCATGAGAAAATAGTAAATAAGTCGATTAATCACACAAGCGATTTTTATTCCCTGATTATTGTTCAGGAAATTTTGACCCAGCAAAATCATCTTTGGATCTATGTAATCACTAAAATTTCTGCTCGGATATAAATTTGCATCGACGTGGTAATGAAAGAGACTGAAAATTCAGATGCAAAATGAAGATGACGATGACACGGCATTACCTAACTGCACTCGTCATGCGTTATAAGAGTCGTCAGCATTAAATCATTGCATAACCGATTTTTACAGCTTCATTCATTCCTTCTGTATCTAGATCATTCAAAAATAATTATTTTATCTTCATCAAGTGACATTTACTTGTGAAGAAAAACGATTAAAAGTAACGATGGATCTATTGGTACAATCTAAAAAGTAAACTTTATAATAATTATATTGGACATTAGATATGTACGTGATCTGTGTAGCTTTATGAGCTATACTTACACCAGAAGCACTTGTAGATGTGTGTACATATACAAGCGTGCGCGGAGCAATAATGTTGATAGTCCGTTAGCTTCACAGTTATATTAGCAGGAAGCTACCTAGTATGGATAAATTTTGTTTGCTTTATCTTTATACATAAGATATTCATCAGAACTCTAGTAGTCTTATCGATAATATATGTTCTATAAATTTCATTTTATTGAAAAATGGGATAGAATCAAACGATAAAACATCAGCCGGCTTTTATGGAATTCCGATACAAGGATATAATGCTACTCTACGACACTTTTTATTTTTTATGGTACCCAATATATTATTTTATTTCATTTCGATAAA